AATCAACACAACCCTAACCTAACTCCCCAACCTAATGAAACACTGATTATGTGGAAATACGGTTATTGGCAGTTTATGTATTAAACTTAATCATTTGTAATTAAGACGTTGGACAGTAATGCTAGGAAGGTTTCTGGTTGGTTAAAATCAAGTCTCGCCCCTGAGCCAAATGATTTATTGAAGCTAAAAATAAACTTCGTGTTTTGAAGTCATACTTACTATTAACTGTTTTTTTTTTTCAAAATGTGTCTTATAGCACTAACTTAATTTAATCACACATTTCGAAAATTCAAAGGTAACCTTACCTTGTGAATTAAAGTGGGGTATTTCAAAAGATTTGTGTTAGGTGATGTGCTGTTAAATGTACGCTGAACATGTAAAAGCTCTTTAGATTTCTGTGCCATATCAAATCACAAATAAACCTTAAAATCGTTCCATAAACAAGATCAATATATATTTTTTATTTTCAATGTTATATCTTTCGTACAATATATGCTGCATCCTTTTATGATTAGAGTAAAAAGCCATTACTATAGCTAAAATAAAATTTGCGTAACGACGAAAATATTACAGTATTTCAAAGAGACTCTGCTACGTCGCCGATAGGGTCTAAATTCTGTTATCAAAAAAAATCTTTAACGCCACCTTCCATTAAATCCTATTGTGAAATATTCCTGAAACGGTGTTTCGAGGATTAAATAATTATATAAGTAGCATAGCCTCGTATACCGTCAATTACGTCGTAAACCGACCTTGTTACACAATATTATCACGCATCATGTGTGACTACGTAATATTGTAATGTAAACTTAAGCTACGTGCACACAGATTATCTGTTTCGGGATAATGGTTTTGAAAGCAAGAGTATTAAAAAACGAACAGAAAATTTAAATTTTGTAATCATGTATCGGTGAGATGACTGATATTAAGCATTTCAGCAAATTGGGAAATGAAGTTAGATACTCACATCTGCATGAATAACTAAAAGAGTGTTTACTTCTATAATACTTAATGAAAATACCTTCTTTAATGAGTAGCCTATTTTATGAATAAAATTCTAAAATGATTACGTAGTTTTAAACACGAGACAGTTTTTATAGTTATTGATTTTAATATAATAGAGGTAGCTTCATTCAGAACGCCTCTTTTACATTTTAATTTCAATTAATAGAACATGGCTGTATGAAACTGTCAAATTTCTTTAATTAATTTTAAACCTTAACGCTATAGGTGTAAAGCTCAAAATATATTACGGAAACTGATGATTTGTTGAAATCTGATAGCTGCTGTGCTCAAAAAGTAATGGGACACAAAAATACGATAGATATATGCTAATTACTATAATAAACAAACAATGACATTTTCCCCTTTATAATTTTAGTATAGAAGCAATTGTTGATTGAATAAAAAAATATATAATGATATCTGTTTTCGTTTAGTTAATTTTAAATATAACTGATATTATCTAAATGAAAGTAGAAATAAATTACCTAACAAAATTTTTCAAAATTAGTGTCAAATGCATAACGCTCATCCCGTATGTCCTATTCCTTACAATGAGTGCTTAGCTCCCTATGACCTAGTTTAGTGAGAGCGAGAGGTGGCTGTCAGTTTTCTCTGAAAATTAATACCTCCCTGGATTCATGGGATAAACGTCACTGATAGCAGGATAGATTTAGAATATTATTAATCATAATTTACTTCAGATGATTATATTTCTTACTTACATAGTTTATGTTAATATTTATTTACTACCAAGTTGAAATCTTTCATCTTTCAACATTAGTCTTTACTTGTTTGGTATTAATAAGCAAAACTTAATTAATAACAGTTCAAAACTTAAGAGAAAATATTCTATGAGTTGTAAAAAGAACATAAAATTTAGTGTTTAATATTTCTTAGCAGTTATGACTGTTGTTTTTGAGTTAAAAGAAACATTAAAATATGAGTTAGGGTTTAATTAAGTTATTGTGCATCATTAAAAAATATTTTATCCAATATTAGATAACATAACATAAATTTCTCAGATTCCATGATGAGTAGCTAAAGTCCATGTATTTTGAAGTATCTGAGACAAAGACGTCACTAAAACACCTTAATCCGGTAACAGCTAACACTGTTGAGGTAACATTGTTACCTATGGATGATAGATAACAATGTTAGACGAAAAAAGTGTTTTCAATAAGCTTATTTGAATAAAGAATATTATTACTATTATTGTTATAACAAAGAGTAGGCTTTAATATCAACTGAAAAAACGTGGTAGCCTTCACATTTTACTATATGTACACACACACATACACACAAACGCACAGTTACAGCCATTCGACGCCCGCTCCTGGGCATAGGACATAAATTCTACCCTCAATCAAGTTTAAAATCAAGTAGTAATTTCAAATTTGTTAGATTTGTAATTGATTGTACTTCAGCGAAATTTTATAATTTCACATTTTAGCTACTGATGTTTACTTGGAAATATGAGGTACTTGCCTTAATTTAAATGTTCGTTTATTAGGAGTTTTCAGGTAAAGAAGGTTACCCCAACGAATATAAACCTTAATATATTGAGATTGAGTTCCGAGTTGATTGAGGAATGTTGATGTGTTGTTATACGTATTAACCCAAATAAATATATTTCCACTGTATAATCACATTGATGGGAAATTCCCAGCGTTATTGTTAAAGCTCCGATCTTAATAGCGCTCACCTAAAATTGTTTTGCTACTTCAGTTTAATAGCTAATTCTGTTAAACATAACAAACTCGATAATAATAACTTTGGTGATTAACTTTGATGGCAACTTAAAACAAAGTGCTTCCTAACTCGTTACGGAAATGCAACGATAAATGTAATTTTTGACTTGATAACAAAATTGCTATAATATATGTGTGTGACAGTATCACAGTTTTTTGTCTTGATTCATACCTGAGATAAACAAATATCGAGCTATAATATATAGTCATAGGGTCTCTTTGAATATGAAACCTTAAAAAATAAGCAGAAAATAATAAAGCAAAATAGTCTCAAGTGTCCTATACACTGAAAATAATGCGAAATTCATTTATTAATTCAAACTAGTGGTACCTCAAGTCGATATTTGAACGTGACTATGTTATTGTTTGACTTCGTAAGTGTAATCTTTTTCATAATAGTGTGTGTATTTTTTCATAATTGTAATGTAAACTTTGACTGTGCTAAATTCTCGGTGCTATATTTCTTTAACCATAAATGTCTGGTGGATACCACGCCCAGATATACTGAGACGGGATTGGAATCTACTACCTAAAGTAAAGCGGTATAAATGCTCAAAAATACATTTTACATTAAGGATGAAAACATAATTTTGTCGGTTTGGTAGATGTGGTTAGCTATAACTATAGATAACGTTATAAATGGCACTCGTATAAACATGGCTAATTGGAATCGGAGCGTTGCGATACAATCTCCGATAAACTAGCCCGGAGATTTGCGGAATCAACCCCGATGCGGGAACATCTTGAGCGCCATCTTGAGATGATAAATATAAGTTATAATATTTATAAGCATTTGCTTTGATCAATGATGTAAAATATTGAAATAGTTAGTTACGATATACAACCTTTTTATTTTAAACCATAAGCTAGTGAAATCAATCAAGAGAGACAGGGTACCAAAGGTTTTACTGTAATCTATATCTTCATGCCATATCCTTTGCGGGGTAGGCAGAAAAGACCTGAAAGCACGGTCCTTACGTATGTCACCCGCCTTATCCACTTTCATTACTTTTACTACTTTTCTATGTTCGCCGGTTTTAATAACATCGGACGTCACTTTAACTTTTTTTTTATTAAGAGTACACTATCTTCTATATTTTCCTCAAAATATTTGGAAAACCAAATTTCTGGTAATAAATTTTTTAAATGTTTTTTTTTATAGAAAATCTCTATAACTTTGCGTTGCATTCTGAATTTTTGCAAACCTAAAACTAAACGAAGAATAACAAAGAGGCATAATCAACAGACAAGTGATTTCTCATCAGAAAACATCAAGACATATTAAACATTAAGTGAAGTTATGAATAATATTGCCTGTGTTACTAAAACTATGTTCTAATCCTTATAAAATAAGAGCTTGTTCGAATATTGTTAAAACAGAAAACTCACATAGCAGAAAATTGCCTGACAAGCTTATTTTACCACTTGACCCATAGCAGGTAAACTAATATTACTAACATGTGCTTCGATAAGCACTCTCGTGGTTAAGCACTATGTTACATTGTTGTCAGCTAGCGTTTCCTTCTTAATTTTGTGTATGCTAAAATAATATTAAAACCTATTAGAAAACATATCATTCTTGATTTCTCCATGACAACCCATTTTCTTGATTTCTCCAGACAGTACATTCTTGATTTCTCCATGACAACCCTTGCAGTTTTCTTTTCTGTTTAAAAGTAAATTACTGTAATCGTAATTACTGTATTTGAGGGATTCATTTTTCCTATGATTAAATATCAAATAGTGAAAACTTTACCTCAAATTTTAGTGGAAAATTGATATAGCAAATAAACAAGAAACTGCTATTGTTTTCAATTAAAACGTGTTTATGTGCAAGTGTAAATTAGTGAAATATGGATGCACTATGGGAAAGCGAACACTGAGAAACACACTTAAGCACCAATAACTGCTTAACAAATATATCCAAAAAGGTGAGAAACAGAAATATATATATATATAATCGACAAATCTAAGCAAAATAGAGGTAAATATATTGAAGTAAAAACTGTCCAAACTGATTACTCTGTCTACCTACAATTAAGATTAAATATTATACATTACCGACGCACCTGAAATCTTTACTTGTTGTTTACCAATAAAAATATCAAATCTGTAAACCAACATCTGGCGTCATACATAGAATCCAAGACACACTGTTTTGACATTGTATTGATTATTGACCTCTTTGTGAAGCATACTTATTCATATCCAAGCATATTTAAACTACGAAATAAACCACTAGACAAAATGGACAAATCACAAGAACATGTAACACACAGACGCCGTTTACAAAGATCAAAATCAATAGACCGATCTAGATTTTTAAATACAAGTATGGACAATACTTTGGACAACACAACTATTTTTGACACAACCATGAAAAGCTTACCAAATACATCATCTTTAGACGATAGCACATATACAGAATTAAAAGTGCAAGTGGAAGAACTGAGCTCACAGCTAGTATTGGCAAACAAAAATATAGAAAATTTGAATTTACAGAATAATACACTAAAAACAGAAATAATTAATGTTAAAAAGCTGTTACATACATACAAGATATTAATCCCTGATATTGAACTTCAAGAACATGTCAAGTATATGAACACAGCGCCATCTGTCGAAATCAACAGCAAGCACGATAAAGCACCTCAATATACATCTACACAAGAAGAAACCAAACAACGTGACAATACAATAGACAAGAATTTGACAAACTCACATACAGAGGGCGTTAGGCCGCCTCAAATAGATTGTAAAAAGAAAAATTGTGATTATATATACAAAAAATCAAATATTATAATAAAGAAAACTCAAAATAATCAAAAAATTATGATTTTAGGGGATCAGCAAGCATTAGGATTATCAAAATTATTAAGTAAAAAACTATCTAACAAAAAATGTTGTATTACCTCTTTTATTAAACCTGATGCGACTTGTCATGATGTTCTTAACACAAATCTTCATAATAATTTTACAAAGGACGATTATTTGATACTGTTAATTGGTGCAAATGACAAAATACCCACAAATATAATTTGTGCATTGTCTGTGTTTTTGGCTCAATCGCCTAACACACACATATTTCTTATTCAGACAATGATAAACCCATATCTCAATATAAATATGCTTAATAATCAATTAAAGTTAATTAGTAAAATATATAAAAACTGTAAATATATAGGATTATCGGAAAATAGTCGCTTTAACGCTAATTACTTACATGATATTTATTCTAGAATAAAATTGGAAATGGAAGCTATAAGCTACTATAAACTTTCTATAGAAAAAATTAAATATCACAAGAGTAATATGTCAAACATTGATAAATTTGATATCTTAAGACGGACAAAGGGTACAATCCCCTACTATTTCTTAAAAAATCCAAATGAACTAAATAAAAAAAGCAATAAACAGAATAATAAGAGTATAGAGTATCAACAAATAAAAGCACAAAAGGGTACAATTCCTTATTATTTTAACAAAAAGAATGATATAGGTAGTAATTTGGAAAAGTATTTATTTCGACATGCCACAAAGCTATAACTTTAATTTGTTACATCAAAATATTTGTAGTATTTTTAGGAAAAAAGATCAATTAGAAATTACACTATCAAATTATAAAAAAGAAAACAAAAATATTGATGTCGTTTGTCTCTCAGAGACATTTATTAAAAGGGGACATGAACAAAATTTGACACTGAACAATTATAAAATGGGAGCATCATGGTGCCGGCAATATGAAAAAAGAGGAGGTACGTGTATTCTACTCCATAAAAATAGTGATCATAAAAGGATACAAATAACAGATACAATTTCGGAAAAACATAACTTTGAGTGCTGCGGAATATTAATAGAAAAATTTAATTTAATTATAATATGCATATATAGGACCCCTACATCAAATATATCAATATTTTTTGAAAAATTGCAAAAACTATTACATTCTTTAAATAAAAAATCAAATAAAATAATATTATGTGGTGATTGGAATATTAATATTTTGCAAAATAGCGAAAATACAAAAATATTAACAAGCATTTTATATAATTACAATCTAACATTGCATATTACTACTCCAACAAGGAAAAAAGCCTGCCTAGATCTAATAGTGAGTAATATCTACGGAGCAAAAGGTTATACAGATGATATGCTTCTATCAGACCATGATACGTGCCAGATACTATCAATTCCATTTGACAACTATATTAGAAATTTTCATTGGTATGAAATGAAAAGAAACTTTGACATTGAAAATAAAGAGAAATTCATAAAATATATTAATTCTTTGACTTTTCAAAATGTATTAGAAATAAAAGATACGAATGAAGCCTATAATATGTTTCATGATACTTTTACCATGTTTTATGACCAATGTTTCCCCATAACAAGATTAAGATTAAGTAATAATACAAAACAAGTTAAGTGGATTACAAAAGGATTAAGAAAGAGCTGTCGGGAAAAGCGTAAATATTATTATAAATATATGCATTCGAGTAAAAAAAATAAGGAGAAAAACAAAACATATTATAAGAAATATAATAAGATACTAAATAAATGCCTCAATTCGGCGCAAAAAATAACAAATTCAAAATTCATTATAAATGCTAAAAATAAATGTATGGCATCATGGAAAATTATAAATAATAATATAAATAGAAAACCAACAAAAAATTTAATTAAAACCATAAAATATAAAAATAAAGATCTAAATAACGCTCATGACCTATGTGAAGCATTTAATGAGTATTATACAGAAATAACTGAAAATAAAAACAAAAAAATAGAAAACACAAATCAAAATAAAGTCCAAAACAGTATATTTCTATATCCAACTACAGAAACAGAAATAGAAAGAATAATATTAAAGTTGAAAAATACAAAATCAGTGGGTTATGATGATCTGAACACAGATATTATTAAAGCATGCTCCAAAAGTATTAAATCTCCTTTATCACATATAATAAATGCTTCATTAGAAAGTGGTACATTTCCGGATAGACTGAAATTTTCAGTAATAAAACCATTATTCAAAAAGGGAGACACTAGTGATATAGGAAACTATAGACCTATTACACTCATACCAGTATTTTCAAAAATATTTGAGAAAGTAATGGCTGAAAGGTTAAAATCATTCATTAATAAACATAGTGTAATCAATAATAATCAATTCGGATTTCAGGAAGGAAAGTCTACTACACAAGCTTGTTTTGAATTGTTAAAAAAAGTAATTGAATCTTTAAATAATAGAGTCCCTGTAGTGGCAGTATTTCTTGAAATGTCAAAGGCTTTTGATAGTGTGAATCATGACATATTGATGAAAAAACTTTTTGACTATGGCATGAGAGGCTCAGCGTACAAATGGTTCGAAAGTTATTTGAGAAATAGACAACAGTGTACAGAAATAATAAGAATGGAAAGTAATATCAAAGAAACCATTCGTTCAAATTATCGAAATATAAAAAATGGTGTACCACAGGGCAGCATCTTAGGACCTTTACTCTTCTTACTATACATCAATGACCTCCCTGATATAACCACAAATGACTGTTTCTTATTTGCTGATGACTGTACACTACTGTTTCAAAATAAAAATATTGACCAACTAGAAAACAAAATTAATAACACAATTTCCAATGTAATAGAATGGCTAAACAAAAACAATTTAAAAATTAACATATCAAAAACTAACATAATACAATTTCATACAGCTAAATCTAAAAGAATAAACTTAAATATACATTATAAAAATTCCAATATTGACGTAGTAAGTACAGCGCGGTTTTTAGGCATAACTCTGGATGAACATTTACACTGGAAAAATCACATTGATAGTTTAGCTACAAAAATAGATAAATTCGTTTTTGCACTTTATAGAGTCAGAATAGTCGCTTCTAAAAATATAGCCTTACAAGCATATCATGGATACGTGTCGTCCTTGCTACGTTATGCTGTAATAATATGGGGTAATAGCATGGATATGAAAAGACTATTTATAGCTCAAAAAAAATGCATACGAGCAATATGTGGTATAAAAAGACGTGACTCCTGTAAACCTATGTTTAAAGAATTAAAAATATTACCTTTGCCTTGCATTTATATTTGTGAACTGTGTTTATTTGTAAAAAAAAATCCACAATATTTTACTAAAGTCAGAGAGATAAAAAAAGACCCACGAAGTTCGAGACAAAATAAAATTGTTATTCCGAAATGTAATTTGACATTATTCAAACAAAATGTATATTATATGGCTATAAATATATTCAACAAGCTTCCATCGAAACTAGTAGACTTACCGATTAACAGAAACATTTTTAAAAAAGCTTTGACGGAGTGGCTTCTGAACAAATCATTTTACTCGATACAGGAATATTTGGAATGCAAGCAATTTTAGTAGAGTAAAAATCGCTTATAAATAAATAAATTATTATATACAACGACACTATAAATAAATTATATACAATGACATATTTTATAATGTGTATGATAAAATTATTTTGTAATTGACATGGATTTATGTATTAAGCTTACTTGACTTATTATTTTTGTAACATATAAATTGATTCGAATTTTGACATTATTACTATTACTTAATTTTAAACTATAAGACTGAAATAATATGTAATAGGAACTAAATGAAATGTTTTTTAAGTGAATGATGTGCGAATAAAATAATATCATAGTTAATGCATGAATAGATTAAAATGTAAATTTATATAACTACTAAAACTATTGCACACTGTCAAACAGTAAATATGTGATACGCTTATTTTATGACATCTGTTACACCATATTTTATGCAATAAATGATTGATTGATTGATTGATTGATATCTCTTGAATCTTATGCTTTCTTTAGTTCAAATGCACACACTAAATCATATGGAGTAATAAAATGTATCATGCCTCAGGCGCCTTCCAGGGACATGTAGTGACACAGTTTTTTTTATACATGATGTCATGTTGACTAACTTAAAAAGTCTGATTAGGTCATTTAAAAATCTTTGAATTGTGTACATTACGACGAAATTGTATCCAAAAAATACGGAAACTGTACAGAATCCCATACGTGACATCATTCAAATCAAATCATTCTTTGAATGTGCAAAGTTAATTGTCATATCATATTTTATTTAATTCTGATTCCGTGATCGACAATTACGCCATGTTTCTTCAATCAGATATGCACCGGCCGTCATTAAATTTTATAGTTTTACACGAACGTAAAGCATATAATTTGTGTACACACACACGAAAATAAATAGCTGTGTGTGTGTGTAACTAACTAACTACTTTATTCTATTTGATTTCTCCAGGGCATTCGACTCAATAAATATAAATCTTCTTCTATACAAATTAAAAGTCTGGCCATGGAGCAGTAAAGTGGTTTGACAGCTATTTCAATAATCACTCCCAACATGTTAGAATGAGAAATATAGATGGTTCTTTAGTGGAGTCCGACTAAATGTCCATAAATAGGGGTCTGCCACAAGGCTCAGTATTAGGACTGTCCTCTACATCTTTTACTCTGGGGATATAATATCACACATTTATGCAGCTAATACGCAAATATATATTTCATTCAAACCAGATCACACTGATGATGCAACAGAGCAGCTTAACAGTGACCTGTGTAGCATTGCCGCATGGTGTACTTATAATTATTTGCTATTCAATTCTCCTAAAACAAAATACATGATTTTTGGGGCCAAAAATCAGATAGCCAGAATAAATGTATTGCAAAAACAAAACCTTCGGTTTCCCCAAAGAGGTCTCCAAATTGCAGCCAATGCACGGAAGCTTTGACATTCCTGTAGTGCCCTGTAGAAGGTCCCGTGCAACTCCCTCATCCTCGGAGCGGCCTATCAGTCAGTGGTACCAATACTGCCAGTTCTAATTATTGCTCGGTGGCAAGAGAGAGTGCGGTAAGTCCTTTGTCGCATTCTCTTACGCATCTTAACGTGCAATTACGTGCATGTATTTAGCACTCAGCATGCCGCGTTCGCTATTTTTACGCGGTGTATACAGTCTCATCACTGACGATCTCGAGTGGTGTATCCTATGGTATGTGTGAGTAGTGCGAACTTTCCTATCCAAAGCATCTTATTCCCTCTGAAACCACCTAAGTATGCCAAAACTATTCATACGAACGGGCATGACCCAGCCGCTAAAAGCTTTGTTTGGCGCCTGACAAATAGCTGTATTGTTTAGATTAATGTTTTATAAATTATTTTGCATACCCATAAGTGGGTGATGTGTCAATTGGAAACCTTTTAAACATATTAGAACATACTGTACCACATACATGCGAAATAAGTTATTATTATTATTCAGCACTTGAGTCAAACGACCATGGAAGGATTCTTTAACGGATAGTTTCATCCCCGCTATATCCGCGCCCATATTCTGTGATATACCCAGGTGCTGGTATGAGTCTCGGAGAGGGTTCGCATATCATATATGAGCAGGAGGTCTTCACCTGCTGATTGTTTTATTCGACCCCTGCCTATATGGATATTTGCACATTCGCACATTCGTCCAACTCTA